TCAGGGGGAAGCTGGAGGAAGGGGAATGGATATGATCAAAACATAAAAATATTACTTAAAAAGTTAATATTATATACAAAACAAGCACAAATACCCGTGCAACCGCCAGTACACAGAAACTATTATCATTTTTATGATAATATGTATAAAATTTCTTAGATTTTTATGTTCTTATTTGGACCAAGTCATCAAAGACCAGTGCACATTCGATACTTATCACACATTTGCAGTTTTACAGACAGAACATTACACATTTCAAATACTCAGCAGTGTGGCTAGTGGTTGGTATATTTTAACATTTATTAAGTAAAAACTGTTTTAAACATTTTACATGGATTATTTCATTGAACACTAGCTGAGACAAACAGAAAAAACGTGGTCCACGTTCTTATAGTGATAGAGCCAGAGGATTCTACTTCAATCACCATCATGCTATCCTACACCTAATCAAAATTCTTTTTTCTCTACTATTAAATTTTCAACTGAACAAATAAATATCTAGATTCCTATTTACATAGATGTTTTGAAGCTTAAATTTTTGGCAATATTAAAATGAAACCTTTTGCCCGCCATGATTTCCAATCTGGAAAAAAAAAAAAAAAGAAGAAGACTTACCAGCAATATGAGTTTCTGATACTTTTGTTTTAGGTCTGACACATGTGCAGACGGGTCTGCCCCCAGAATGCTGTACCAGTCCTTTTTGAGGGTCTGCTCGAAAGCCATCGCTGCCTTTGAAGTGAGCCTTCTCAGAAAAGCTGCAGCAGAAATGTTATCACAATTCATTACAATCGGGATAATGAAATATCCCTTCCTAAATTCTTTATTACTTGATTGAGTAAATTATGATCAAAATGCAAACCCAAGAAAGTTGATAGTTCCATTTAAAATGTCTCATAAATGCCATGTGTAAGGACAGCTACCAGGAAGTACCGAACACCTGCTAGATATATGATATATGTTTATCTTTTAAATAAATTCAGTGTCATAAAAAGAGAATTTAATTTGAGCCTCGGTGATGGATGAACTTCTAAGAAAGTATTTCTTATAATCTAATGGTGAAACTACCATAGAGGTGTTCACTAAAACAACTGGTGCTTCTGGATAAAAAATTCGAATGCCAAAGAAATTGAAGTTGAGGGCATACATAGCCTCTGAATTTCCCCTGTTCACTGCTTCCAGAGTAAATGTAAGGCCTCACGAAATGACAGCACGGGCTCAGGGAGAGGGCAGTCCTCCTGCTAGGGCAAAGATGCTGACAGACTGCAAGGACCTCGCTCCCCTCCCGAAGCTGTGCACGCCAGGATGCCACAGTCCCTGCTTTAGAAACCAGTTCAGCATGAGGCAGCCGGGTTGTCCGACTTGCAGTTTGGGGACCCGAGGCTTCCACAGTTCACCCTACCCAGCCTGCTCTGGCCGGTACCTTCCCTGGCTCCACACAGCGTCAGACTCACCAGGCTTCACACGGGAGCGTGAGCCCACTCCACGGAAGATCGGAAGCCACTTTCCTTTCCACCGGAAGTCTTCGTTCAGCGGGAATGCGTTTCCAGTCGTGCCCTAGTTGTCGGTGCACATATCCGAAGGGCCCCGCCTCCCTTCCCCGACGCGGTCGCTATGGTAACTCGACCTGGTTTCCGAGGTTTCTGTCAGTGTGAAAGGAGCTCTGAAGAAATGCCTTTCCTCAACTTGCTATAATTCTCGCTGGCCCCGGCTCCGACATTGTCACATCCTACATCCTTCTACATCTGCTGCGGTGCACTTTCATTCCAGGTTCCGCTTACTTTACCTTGAGAAACTCGGGTCCTGTTGGTTGATACTGGGGGCCGGGAGTTGGTGATAAGCATGAGTGTGGCTAATTAATTATGCCTAATAATCATTCATTTTAGACTTTAGCAACTGACTTAAAGTTTTCTAAAAATTCAAATACGTTCACATTTACTATCTCTGTTTTTACTTTCACTTCAGTCCACCAAGACAACTTTGGAAGGTGTTGCTATAGCTACTTTGTAGATGAGGAAACAAATGAGGGATCAAGGCCAGATACGTAATTATGCAGGTGTAGAACCAGCACTCTTACCAAAATGAACTGTCCTTTGTGAGTCTTTTAGGTAAGGGTTGCTCCAAAGGAGCACTTTTGAGTGTGCTGTTAGCGCGCTCCCCTCCTTCCCTCCCTTCCTCCTTCCCTCCCTCCCTCCCTCCCTCCCNAGGGTTGCTCCAAAGGAGCACTTTTGAGTGTGCTGTTAGCGCGCTCCCCTCCTTCCCTCCCTTCCTCCTTCCCCCCCCCCCCCCCCCCCCCCCCCCCCCCCTCCCTCTCTCTCTCTCTCTCTCTCTCTTTCTCTCTCCCTCCCTCTCTCATCTTTCCTTCTGTGTTCCCTTTTATTAACTCTTCCCTGTGTTTCTTACTTTGCCTTGGTCTCTTCTGTGCATTGAATCTAGAGATGAGAAGCATCTTAGTTTTGAGAACATGATATGATCTCCCTTGGAGAGACAAAGTTGTTTCGGTGTTGCTACTTGCTTAGATATACTTTCTGATTATTGTATTTTCCACCAGCTTCTATCAGCTTAAGAGGTATTGAAAATAAAACTAAGTGGAAATAATCTAATAGGATAAATTCTTTTAATGTTATGAACATTGCAGAATACATGAGGAGTTGCAGAATAATACAGCTGACTTTAAAATATAAATGTAAAAGGAGAGAGTAGGTTCTCAACTGGATTTTGTTGTGTTCAAAGCAAAGATCATCATACTAATGCTGAGTGGGTCTAGTTTCAGTCCCGGACTTAGAAAACCATCTTGTGGGCCTACCAAAATGCACAAAACAACAGAAGAAAGTATTGTGGATCTCTCCCTCTACAATAAGAAATCCCCCATTAAACATTCCTCCCCTCAAACAATCCTGTTTGACCCTTCTTTGCATACAGAAATATATTCAAGAAGTCCAGTTTTAGGAACAAAAGGTTTGATATACTATTTCATTAGGCTGTTGAGATATCTCTTTTATTCTAGCCACTTACTTAATATTCCCCAGGAAATCCTAAATGCTTTTCATCTATATCCAAGTATTTTAGCTTGCTATCAACTTTTTCTTTTTATCCTCAAGAAGTCCTTAATTATTCAAAACTGTCAATATTTAATTAATATCATCCAATATATAAAAACCCTCTTCTGATCTCTCAGCTCGTTTCAAAGATGTTTTTAGGGGTAGTTTGCTTAGATCTGTATCCAAACACTTGAAACATTGAATCTGGTTGGTCTGTCTCTAAAAATGAATTTTATCAGACTAATTCCTTGACTAACAACGGTTCTTGTTGTTGTTTTTAGTTCACTGAAAAAAAACAGATGGTTTGTCTTATAATCCAAATCATTGATATTTGGATAAACCCCTCAAAGTGATTGTTACTGTGTCACTGCTCATTAATTTCCTTGTATCTAGAACAACATTATCCCATAGAAATATAGAAAAGTAAGCCACGAATGTAAGCTAGATATGTGACTCTTGAAATATTATATTTAACACAGATATATCTATAATATTATCATCATAAAATGTAATCATTTAGGAACTGCTATATGGGCTTTTTCAGCACAGCTTGGCTTGGACTACTCGCTTCCAGTATTCAGTAGCCTCGAGTCACTAGTGGCTATGGAACTGAGCAAAGCAGGTCCAGAGAATGAAGTCCTCTTTTCCAATTACATGAATTTTTATTGTGTATGCATTTGTATGTGTGTGGGTATGCCACCACATATTTTAGAGGTCAAAGTACAACTTGTGGGAATCAGCTGTTCCTTCTTCCGTGTGGGATCTGAATACCAAACTCGGGTTTTTAGAACTGACAGCATTCTTCTACCTGCTGAGCCATCTCTCCATCCCTAACATCCTAACCTTTTTTTCTGGCACTATTTTACCTTCTAGAGCAGCTAAGTCTTTAGAAAGTACTTCTTTCAATACTCATAGCAGGTCATTCATACTCCTCTGATCCCATGATTTGTTATTGTCTCTAAAGGTATGTTCTGTAACTGTTCCCCCAGTTAGATGGCCAGTCGTGCGCAGCAAGGAGCCTCTCTCATTAGACAAACTGAGCACTGGGAGCTGTCTTGCTTCACTCGCACTTCCAACTTCTAGTGATGAGTTTCTGACCTGGATCAAGTCATTTTTCAGTGACAGGGTCCTAGAGTTAGTGGACCGGGGAAAAAGATGAAAAAGAAGATAGGAAATCCGGGGTTAAGAGATTTTGTACAAGCTATGTCGTATGCTAAGCAAGCTTATTAAGACGTACGGTATCTTATATATGATTTTTAGGGGGAAGATAGACACGGTCAGCAGCAGGCTGTCATACATCATAAATACGAGAATTCAGCAGGAAGCTAATCAAGCAATGTTGCATAAAGGGAATACAGGATATCTCAAGTGCCTCATAAGGGCCTTGGTACTGATAACCATAGCCCTTCGAGGGGGATAGTTGGTTTCTCAAGAAAATCTCAACTCCCCCAAAACCCTGGCCCTGGGTCATTATTGGTTCTGCCAAGCATATTCATAGTTTTAGATGAGGAACTATGTTCCTTCTCCACACATCAGAGTCTCAGGGAAAAGCTCCCAAGGCTCTGATCCCAGGCTATTCCTGGCTCTGCCAAGCATGATCGTAGTTATAGGTCCTTTTCAGGGCCTCAAGGAAAGCCTTGGATCAGTATGGTTGCCAGCAAGTTTCTACAATAGGTTTGTTTCTTACTGCCTTGTTTTCAGAATTAAATTTATCCATCATATGTGAAACTTACATAACATAAATATAAACTATGGGTTTGGAATGGTGGCTCAGGGCTTAAGAGCACACACTGCTTCTGTAGTGGATCTTGATGGAGGTGGGTCTTGTATCTTATCTGTTGATTTCATTGGTTAATAATAAAGAAACTGCCTCGGCCCTCATAGGACAGAAAATTAGGTAGGCGGAGTAGACAGAGGAGAATGCTGGGAAAAAGAAGCTGAGTGAGTGAGTCGCCATGATGTTCCCACTCCAGACAGACGCAGGTTAAGATCCTCTCTGGTAAGCCAGCTCATGGGCTACACAGAATATTAGAAATGGGTTAGAACAATATGTAAGAGCTAGCCAATAAGAAACTGGACCTAGCCGGGCCAGGCAGTGTTTGAAAGAATACAGTTTCCGTGTAATTATTTCGGGCATAAGCTAGCCATGCGGGCGGCCGGGTGCCGGGGACGCAGCCCTGCTGCTCCTATTTCAACAGGATCTGAGTTTAGTTCCTTCCACCTATGTTGAGCAGCTCACAATCACTTGTAATTCCAACTTTAGAGGGATCAAACATCTCTACCCTTTGAAGACACACACACTTACATGAACTTACAATTAACTAAAAACAGAATAAATACAAAAATATTCTTAAAAGAAACAAACTATTATGTGGTGGTTAATAGAATATTACACATTTCAAATACTCAGCAGTGTGCCTAGTGGTTGAATTCTGAAGTCAAGCTGCTTAACTTCAGCTCTATCTGCTGTTTCTGACAGTTAGAGCTTGTAAGAGTTAATCCTTCCCTGCTTTCTTCCTCTCTAAACAATTGCACACATGATGCCTCCTACATCATGATGTGGGGCTTCAGTGAAACAGTTGTACCTGAGATCAGTAAGTACTTAGTAAGGGTTATTTCTAATACTAGTAAAATATTTGCTTCTTAGTTTTAAGATAACACTTGTGGCAGCATTTCAGTACCTTCTGAACACCAGAAACTACCGAATTAGAAAAAGTAAACCCACACCCAAGTATTTGCTGAATTCGTGTTTTAGTTTGGCTACAATGTAAATTTAAAGCATCAGTAAAACCATCTTAGTTAATGTGATCTACACCTTCTATAAAAACAGTAAGCATAAATTAAATATTTGATTATGAGATGATGATCAAGCATTATAGCTACATAAAGAGATAATTTTATGAAGGTTTAAAACCCCAGGTTGTAGCAGTAGTCAAAATTTAGTCCATTTCTCTATCCATTATGTTAATATGAATCTGCCTATAAATAAACGCCCACCAAACATTAATTAATATGATACTAGGAAACTATGCTTCCTACCTTATAGACAGTTGTAGTTACTTCAGCAACTACAATGAAATACTGATATGACTAATGGAGAAAGAAAAAGATTTCTTTTTGTTCACATTTTGTACATTTTAGATTAATGTCATGTAGACATGGCATTTGCTCTCTTGTAGGAGTGGGTGCTAGCTGACAAAGGTAGACAGGGTGAAACAGAAAAAATTTTCTTTGCCTCATGACCAGGATGTAAAATGGAAAGGAAAAGAAACACAGTTCTGATAGCCAAAGGATCTCCCAGTAGACTGCACTTCCCAAAAATGCCATCAAATAGCACTACCTTCTCTCTAATCGACTGCAACTGTGCGCTTGTGTTAAGTATTCATTTTGGCATTATATTCATGTGTTTTCTCTAGGTATTTCATTACTAACTATAATTTTCCTTGTATTTATTTCTGATTTTTAGGATTTTTCTTATCACTGAGCTAAGCTGAATTTATTTGTATTATCACCAGTATTACAGTTATGTTCTGAAATTAGGCAAATTGCATCTAAAGCAACTTCAAACCTTAGTGGGAAGACAGGCAAGCCACCAAGAACTGGCTAGTCATGAGATTTTAAAAGCAGTCCTATGGCACATAAACAGCCTTTGTTTGCTTACTCAGTCTACAAATAGTTTCTGTTTGCTCTGTGCCTCATATGGAGCGACAGTAGGCAGTGTTGGCTGCATCTTACTCATCTTGGCAGACAGAGAACTAAGCAGCAGAAACAACTGCAAGTACCCTGTAAGGGAATACCGAGAACTGACATTGGTCACAGGTACAAAGCAAAACAAGTTGTTTGAATTCCTGAAAGTTTTCAATCAGGATGAAGCTAAACCATGAAGATGTGTGGGCATGTTCAGTGGTAAGTAACTCTTTAAAGGGAAGAAGAAATGTGTGGTAAGAATTAGAAACACTTTTCTTTTTTTTCTTTTCTTTTAAAGTGAGTTTTTATGCTGACAATTCCTTATAAAATAAAGGGGATGTTTAGAAAAAAATTAACAATTTATTTATAGGTCCATAATCTCAACAACAAATATAATCCAGAGATCAGACGCCAGGGTTTGATCTTTACTGGCTATTTCATTAAGGAAGCAAAGGCATTTTCACAGGTGAATGGGACTATGTGGCACAGATACATACATGGTGGGGTCTCCTTGCACTCCTGCAGCAGCGTCTCTTCCTCCAGTTTTCCCATTCCTGCTGAGACCTCCAACAAAGCAAATGTGTCCTCAACCTGGATGTGATCTCATTCTTTAAATGCTCTGGAAAAAGCCCTTCAGAAAACTTCCTGACACTGAATTTAGGGATATTTGGGGGTCCTAACATAAATCTAATTCATACTGGTGTGATATCCTTTAGGGTGCTCTATCTGCCTGCGTGAGTCTCTTTTAACAATAGCTCCTTCAGTTGTTGCTCACTTTCTTGGTAATGCCTATCTAAGATGCACAGCCCGTGCTTTTGCACGTGTAGAAACACTTTTCTTTTTGGCTGATTGTCATAAAGCTTATCTAATTTAAATCAATCTACTGGACAACTGCTATAGTTTCTTTCTCAAACATCCCCCAATGTGCCATACTGATTAGTGTCCGATGCATGGTGCCACCAGGAGGTAGAATCAAGAAAAGGGAATTGGGAACATTAGGACTGGAAGCGTGTCCATGGAAGTAATATTGGGACTCTATCTACCTTTACCCTTTCTTATGCGGTCCTGTCTTTCTAGTTCCCAGCTGCCACGAAGAAAGTGGCTTCCATTGCCCTTGGTTCTTGCACTGATGCCCCACCTTGTTTACAGACCTGGAAACTTAAAACACTTACCAAACCTAGTGCCTCTTTCCTTCAAGGTAGTCACCTCTAGTATTCTGTTGTGGTAACAGGAAGCCGGCTGACACAAGAATTCTTCGCTGTCTTTTCAAAGCAGCTTTTGTTTCTCCCCTAAACTTGCTCTGCGCTCTTGTCATCTGAGCAGAGCATCACACCTGCTACTGTGGTCTCTTGTTTAACTTCTGTTTCATCTGTGCTTAGATTATTGGGGAGTCTTGATCTTACCTGGGGTTCTTCTTCCTATATTCTTCATGCCTGTGTTGCCATCCCAGAGCCTGTTAGAGATGCTGTCCTTACTCCATCTTTGGCAATCACAATACATGCCGACTTATTTTCAGCACTCCCTCTTGCATCTCTCTTCTTGAGATCACCCTGGCTTCTCCACACTTTCTAGGGTCCCTAGAATGCACGGTAATCTCTTTCGATAGGTGAGAAAACACAGTTATATGCTGCTTTTTACAACATCCTTCCCTCCCCATTTTTACTTTTTAAGAAAAAGTTTATTTTGTCATGTAATTGACTCACAGGAGAAAGGTTAATCTGGAAGATCAGGGGGTGTTAATTTGTGGGTTAAAATGTGTTAAATAGTTGATACGGAGTCTGTTTAAGTCAATTAGAGTGTATAATGAAGATGTTTCCAGGGTGTTAGGGAACCTTTTGGAGTTAGTTTGGAATCCACCAGTGCATGTTTACTGCAGCACCTGGCTTAAAATGTGGCTGTGTTTGAATAGGGATGCACATGGGGAGGACGTTTGCCTTCATTACTGTGGCTTATCTTTCATCATGGGAAGTGAAAGCCATCACTGGCGTCATCATTAGTAAGATGGAAGTGTGATTAGCAGTATTGCTGCCTTCCTTACTCATACGCTCTTCTAAAGTAAGCTGCATCTGCACTGCACAACCAAGGAAACATCCCTAGCTTTGTGTTTGTTTGCTCCGTTGTCCTTAAGAAATAAAAATAAAAATCAGTGGTATCGTTAAAGCTTGAGTGGGTGAAGACATGAGAATTTAAAGAAACTATTTGTTCCCCTAGTAATACTGCCCACAGTGACATTGTGAGGCATCTTTGTTTTGGCTAATATCATTAAAATTTCAAAACAATTGATGTTATTATGCAGACCTTAATGTTAGGACACATAAATTTCAGTAGTTGAACCTAATTTTGTAGGAAAATAGACTGATTCAAAAATATAGTGTTACATCTTCCACAGTTCAAGTCTAAAAAAGAAGTGAGTTTAAACCCCCATATTTTAATTATATTCTTCTCCTCCGCATATTGCTTGCTGAGGGACCGTTTACCTCTTGCATCAGTTTACTAGTGATAAACACATTTAGCATTGCGATTCCTACTCAGACCCTCCAGTTTCATCATTTGAGATGGATGAAAAACAAGTCTCCTTTGCTAATGGGCTCTCTGCACTGATGGAGCCCGTGCCAGAATGATGAAAGCACACAGCGGACATACACCGGATAACTGTTTTCTGATGGAGTTCCAAACAAAAATCATAATTTTTAAAAATATGGTGAGCAATTTATACTATTACTTTTTAATCTGCCAAGAAGCACGGTGAGTACAGTCTTTTGTAGCTCATTAGCAATTTCTTTAATGAGTTTTTTGGTGTGATAGATAGTTAAAGTAACAGACAAATGACAGATTGTTTGCCTTTAATGATTTCCCTGTTTCGAGCCCATTACAAAGCAATTAGAAATCTGACAGCATTTTCACTCTGCATTACTGATCATCTAAAGTGATGAGGAATGAGAGGTGATGAATATTAATTGTATATTTTCATATGATTATCATAAATTATTACCTTGTCTGATATGCGGCAGGTGAAGCGGGAACATTAGAGAAAGTCGGTCAGATATATTAATTTGAAAGACTGGATGTTTTTAATCTTTGTCTGCAGTGTGACTCCTAGTCATAAAGAGTAACGTAAAGAGTTATGACTAGTTCCCTATGAATATTAAACCGGGTGTTTTTACTTTCTCTGTATGCTTGGAAAAACTTAAATACATTTTCTTATTTCAAAACAAAAAAAGGAAAACATATTTCATAGTACAGTACACTTACATGTAATTAAGATAAAATTAAATTTAGAAAGGAAGACATGAGTGACTTCTGTTGCTGTAT